CGGATCGGATATTCGGTTTTTCTAAAATGATATTTGCGATTTGTTTTATTTTCTACGGATACTTAAATTTGGTATTTGCTTTGCTTTGAAATTTTACGGATATCCAAATTCATCAGATCGGATCATAACGAATAACGAATCGAAACGGATTTGATGGATTTTTTGTCCAGCCCTAACAACTATATCGATTTTTAACTGGGACAACAATGAGATATTTTCTATTGATGGGAGGAGTTAATCGATGTACGAGTTATGAGATCGGCGCATTGATTTGAAACTCTTAGATTGAAAGAAAATTTAATTTATATGAGCATTAGAAAATTTAATTTATATGAACATTAGTCTGTGCTGTCTTGCATATAAGAATGAAGCTTTGTATGTGAACCATGACTGCCAAGCAGTTCGCTTATGGTTGTGTTATCACCTTCTAATTCTTCCAAACGATAGCCAAGAGACCATGTAGATTGTATTGCCAACAACAGTGTTGTAAACTCTGCTTCTTCAACGATGTATGCATTCTCTATATAGTGTTTAAAGAGCAAAAATAAAATTTTCAATTTTTCAAAACTTAGAAATGTTTGAATGCCTATAAATTAACGATCATATAACATGAACAAACAAAAAAATCAAGGCTGTAGACGGTGTAACTTTATATGTGACCTACTAATTTTTTTTAAAGTCTGATTGGTAAGCAAATAGTGTAAAGAAACTTTAAGGGGTTGTAGAAACTTTACACTAAATCTCTAAATTGAATGGTAAAGATCGAATCGGCCTAATGATGAAGATTGATTCTGTTGATCTCTTAACTTTTTTTTTGAAAACTTATTGTATTCTGAAAAATATATAAAAATGAAATATGATCATTATTTGATGGGCGAACCTTAATTTTCGGACTCATTTAACCATGATGTCCCAAAATATTTCTACTTCATCGAAATTTGGGTAGATCTTTGTGTGTTTCGGACAAGTCAAGCCTATATGATGGCAAGTACCTTGGACGAACATTTGTATTTTCAGTCTAAAATGTTCGTTAGAATCCTAACCGTTTTGGATTATTTTGCAAGAAAATTAAAAAATACTAGGTAACTTATAGTCAAATCCGATGGATGTTTTTTCTTCGTTGCATATTGCTTAATCGATATATCAATATTTCTCCAAATACACTTTAGACAAGGTTGACATGTCCCTCCGAGGGCTTGACTATATAGTCCACAACCTTCACCCCAAAACACTTAACACATTTTCTTTTATAGTTTTGATTATAATAGCTTCAAGGAGAAAATCTCGCATTTATATATCTATATAGAGAAGATTTTTGAATCCCGCTATTATTTTTTTTTTTTGCAACACTTTGTTTCTCATTGATCTCAAATTTTGGAGTTACATCCAAACATACCACAATACATTAAAGAACTAAAGATTAAAGCATAAGAAGAAACATAATTTTACGACAGCGAATCAAATAAAACTTCTCGATGAGTCGGTTTTAAGTTCACGACTAAGCCAAAAAACATAGGTTTGGTCACTTTGAGTAGTGACTTTGAAAGACTTCCCGTACCTTCGAGTTTCGTCAAGACAAAACCGGTTGCATCTACAAGCCTCGAAGCGATCGGTATGCAAGAATACAAAACGGTTGGGAAATTACTCGGTTTTGATTCCGAGAGGGATCTTACCCTCAATGAGAGAAGAAAAGATGAACGAGTTCTCTCCCACAGGGAAGAAATTACACGATTTGAGAATCCATTAAACTTTGAGGGCTCAAAAGCTGATATTGATTTTAAAAAGCATAGATATGTGTCATCCTCCATAGAGAGAAGGTTAATAGCCATGAGTGACCCTTGTTTAAATCTCTCCCCTAGAGGAGAGGACACTGTAAATTGAATAGAGACCATCTTTGATAAAGCCAACGTCGTGTTCAACTCAATAAACATAGAGTAAGAATTGAAAGCTTGAAGGAAAGGTCTGATGGGCTACACAGCCCAAGTCTCGAGATGCGCCAAGCCCAAACATTAGATTTCTTGTCACAGAGTGGAACTGCCGGTGGGATGGTGAAGCGTATCCTCCATGACGGATGGTTGTAGTAGTTACATAAAGAGCATCCGGCCGGGTTTGGCCGTGGCAGAGAGTAGTCAGAACCTTGCCAGAGCTTCTGTGGATATAGATCTCCCACGAGAGAAAGATAGCTTTGTTTTCTTTATAGCACTGACAATCTGACAACGACAAGAGATAGAAACGAGTGGATCGATCAGAGAGTAACAAGGAGAAAAGGCAAGACATGACTGGAGAGTTGGATCCGGTGGGTCTGGTGGATCTGGAGGCTCTGGTTGTTGCAACACCGAAGAAGTCACCATCAACGATTGAACGGAAGAGAAGTTCTCATCGGCAGAATCACGCGACCCCACGAAGGAGATTGGATCACTTCGACGTGGCTCAGCCATTACGATGGAAAAAGAGAGACAAGACTACTAGCGGTGATTTACCGGCGAGATTTGGAAAAGTTCTTCGCGGAGGAAGAGGATTCTTCGCGGAGTCTTTGGATCCCGAGATGAATGAGCCGGCACGGTCAGATGGATTCGAAGAAGCACTAGTGCCGGAATCCATTTTGCTCACGATGAAGTTTGCGGCAGCCACCTCGGTAAACGTGTATGAGAGAGAAGCTTAGGGCGACCTTTCCCCCTTGTTTCATATTATATTATATAACTATCGATGTCTATTTATCTTTGTGTTTAATGTCCTTGAGCAGGTTTGATAATTTTGTTGTTGGATTTAGTGGCTTTCAAAGGGAATTCAATGATTGATCAATAAATTGCTAGATTTGGAATTATCTTTAGATCTTTTATTCTAAAATTGTGTTTATTTCTTATCGCTTGATTGGTCGTCTAGATAGTAATGCTCATAGGTTAATAAAACCATTGAAATTGTAGTATAGTTATTTAAGCTATTTTGTATGAACAAATAATTATAGTACACGATAGTAGAATTATGAAGCTTTGTGAAAATATCAAACTAGAACGGTTTATACATATTTAACTATCGTTGCGGAGAACAGTTAAATATGTATTATGTATACATGATAGTAGAATTATGAAGCTTTGTGAAAATATCAAGCTTTGTTGAACTATCCATAGTTCTAACCATTTCCCCCACCACTTTATTGGTGTAATTGCTTGTGTTGTCCATTCAGCTTGAAGTTTTCGATGAATTTTTTTCTTTAAGTCCTCTGAAGTTGGAATAAATGAGATCTTCAAGTGTTCTCACGTAGTTAACTTCAGAATTCTCTTTTTACTCCATTTGCTCGCTAGATGCCTAATGGCTTGAACATATGATATCTTGCAGCTTTGACTTGATCT